ATGAAAGAATCCGGGGACAATTTCAGAGGAAGGGAACCAGTAGCAATGGAGAGAGTAGCAAAAAATAAATATAAGCAAAGTACAGTGATGTAAGTGTATGACAATACTATCTTTTAACCCATTATTTTGTATGCTAACAGTGCTGGTTAGTTTTAACTGTCAACTTTATTCAACCTAGACTCACTTGGGAAGAGAGTCTCAAAGAGGAAATAGCCATATCAGATTGGCTTGTGGGTATATCTGTGGGGATTGTCTTGATTTTCCTTGGATGTGGGAAGACCCAGGTTCTGGCAGCACCATTTCACAGGGTGGGCCCTGGACTGGACAGAACTATATAAGAGAAAACAAAGCTAGAGAGTACTACGGAAGCAAGCAGAAATGACCCAGGTTTTAATTCTCTTGTCTGTGGATGTGACTCTTGAAGCTCCTGTCTGGATTTCCCCACAATAACATACTAGAACCTGGAATTGCAAGCCTTTTCTCTAGATATTTTAGCAATATCAGCAATGAAACCAGGACACTAAGAATTTAAAACAAGAACCAAAAAAACCTTAAAAAATATTTATCTTTTGCTTTGTGATTAAATGACTAATTACATCTCCAATCAATTAGGGAATCACCTTGCATATTTAATTATATCCAGTCATTGTGTCTCTAGTGTACCCAGTAAATATAGAAGATACTGTCCTGTTTCAGACTTTCTAGCAGACCAAGCAGATGCTCTTTCAGAATTTTATAGAAATAAACTCTTCTCACCTCCTCAAGGAGTAGTTCTTAGAGCTGACATGATGACGTATGTCCTTTCACAGCTTTGAAGGGCAGAAGTTTGAAATCACATGTTGAGCAGAATCATGACCTGCTGATGGCTCTGGGAGGGGAAGCTTGCTTGCCCCTTACTCCTCTGATGGTTTACATTGCTGCCATCTCAGCCTTCATCCTCACATGGTTCTTTTCTCTCGGTGTTGTCTTTTGTTATGTCTGTTTCACAACCTCTTCTGCCCTTTTCTTAAAACAATGCTTGACTTTGGAATTGGAGCCCACTTCAGTCAATCCAGGACAATCATCTCATCTTAAGGCCCTTAAGCTGATCCCCTCTGAATTCATTGGTTCCAGGGATTACAAAGTGGCTGGAGTGGCACCATTTACCCTATTACACTCAGCAGAGTAAGCCTACTTACACTCCCACAGGGTTCATGAAGCAACTTAGAGGAAGAGAGCTCAAGGGACTGGCCTGAGGTTTTCTAGTTAATGAGCTGTGAACATAAGATTCATATTTACTTCAAGAAAAAAACCACACTTTCTTAAAAGAGTGACAGTTTCTAGAATTTTCCATTTGGATGTCAAAGATAATTCCTGTGATCCATTCATTACTGGACTATCATGCACCACTGACAACAGAAGGATGCACCCGAATTCTCTGCTTCATGCAGTCATTCTATAGTTAAATTAGCCACATCTCATAAGACTGTTTATTGCACACTTTATTAATTCCGATTTTTTTCATGACTGTGACAAAATGCCTGAGGAAAATAAAAGGGGAAGAATCGTGTCTTTTGGAATGTGGCTTCAGAGTCTGTGGCACTTTGCTCCATTGCTTCTGGGATTGTACATATAGAGACAGAACATCATAGTAGATGGGATGTTGTAAGCAAAGTGACTCACCTCACCTCACATGGGACAGTAGGCAGAGAGACAAGGATGGAGCTCAGGACAAGGCAGAGCAGGAAATGGGTCTCAAGAACATCCAGAGACACCTACTTCTTTGTTTTATTTTTTACATATTTATTTTTTTGTGTCCATATGTGTGGGTACATGTGCCATAGCACACACATGAAATTCAAAGGACAATTAGTGGAACTCAGTTATTTCCTACCTCAAGGGTTCTAGGGATCCAACTTGAGTCTTCAGGATTGGCAGCAAGTGCCTTTGCCAGCTGAGCCATCTATTTTCTCTATTTGTTGTTGTTGTTAAGGTTTTCTCTTTTTTCTTTGTTGTTGTTTTGAAACAAGGTCTTACTTTCTAATCCAGGGTGGTCTGGAACTCATGGCAATTCCCCAGCCTTAGAATTTCAAGTATTAGCATTACAAGGGCTAGGGATGCTGTTGCTATGATGAAATACCATGACCAAAAGCAAGTTCCATATTATTGTTCATCACTGAAACAAGTCAGGACAGGAACTCAAGCAGGGCAGGAACTAGGAAGCAGGAGCTGATGCAGAGGCCAAGGAGGGGAGCTGCTCACTGTCTTGCTTCACATGGCTTCCTCAGTCTGCTTTCATATAGAACTCAGGACCACCAACCCAGGAACAGCACAATGGATTGGGCCCTCCTCATCAATCACTAATTAAGAAAATGCCTTACAGCTTGATCTCATGGAGGCATTTTCTCAATTGAGGTCCCCTTCTCTCAGATGACTTTTGCTTGTATCAAGTTGACATAAAACTGTCCAGCATGGTGAGCCACCATGACTGATTCAATCTATCTCTTCAAAGTTCCTGTCTGTAGAGTTTCTGCTACCTCTCAAGTACACCATCAGATCATCAAAACCATAACTAGATTTTGTCTGTCCCTTCACATCCTGAAGCCCCTTCTCTGAATACTGCACCAGGGACAAAATAGAGGAGTCTTTTAAGGGGTCATTTCATATTCAAGCCATAACGCATAAAATTTATAATACAAATTTATTGAAAGTAAGAACAATGTCTTCCTATAGGAGATTAATCCTTTGTGGCCCTGCCATATGTACCCCATGCAGCCCTTTTAAAATGAATCATATCTATAATTACATATGAAATTTTCTAAAAGAGTAGATCTTGGGTAGTCTCAGAAAAATAAGAAAGTTATGAAATGGATAGGCTAATGAGTTTGATTGTGACCATCACTTTCCAGTCTGTGCCCCTTCCTTCCTTCCTTCCTTCCTTCCTTCCTTCCTTCCTTCCTTCCTTCCTTCCTTCCTTCCTTCCTCCTCCTCCTTCCTTCCTTCCTTCCTTCCTTCCTTCCTTCCTTCCTTCTTTCCTCCCTCCCCCTCCCTCCCTCCTCCTCCTCCTCCACCACCACCTCCTCCTCCTCCTCCTCCTTCTCCTCCTCCTCCTCCTCTTTTGTTTTTCAAGGCAGGGTTTCTGTGTATTGCTTCGGAGCCTGCCCTGGTACTTGCTCTGTAGACCAGGCTGGCCCTGAACTCACAGAGATCTGCCTGCCTCTGCCTCCTAGTGCTGGGATTAAAGGCATTTGCTACTGATGCCAGGTTAGTCTGTGGCCATTTCAAACTAACATGTAGCATGTTTTGCATGCTAAATATACACACTCATCTGTTAAGCATCCCTTGATAAACTTGTCAAAATGAAGATTAAAGTGAAGCATGCCTGAATTGGTGTGGAAGAAGTTTATTCAAGACACAGAGTGGCATGTGTAAATGCGAGCGCTTCGTCCATAACAAAAGCACACAAATGTGGTTCATTTCCTGAGTGTTTTAGAAAGATGTCATAAATTTGTAGCTGTATTTACCTTTGATAAAATGAATGGTGGAGCAAATTGTGGGGATGGAAGGGAGCTTTCTGTTGTGAATGCTACTGTGTTGCTTGAAGTTACCTTGCTATAGATACAGAGCAAGGTGGGGGGTGCAAGAGGGAAAGAGAGAGAGGGGATGAGAATCTATGTGTTAGTTTTCACCTAATTTAATTTTTATTTTAATTCTTGTACCCCCTTTTGTTTTTCTTTCTTTGAGACAGTCTTACTATGTAACTCGGGCTGGCCCCTGACTCAGTCTTCCTACTTGAGTTTCCCAAGACTGATATATGCCACCCTACTTTCCAATTATTTTGCTTCATCTTTTAATAATTTTGTCTTCCTTCAGATAATTCAATGCTTCCCAAATAAAGCATACCTCTGTGTGTGTGTGTGTGTGTGTGTGTGTGTGAGAGAGAGAGAGAGAGAGAGAGAGAGAGAGAGAGAGAGAGAGAGACTGTGTTAATGGCACTGCTCCATCATCATCTTTGTTTTCTGCATATAGAAACCCCACCATGTGTAATCTCCTCCTGTGTAATCTCCTCGGCTCCGTCTTCAGTGTTGGAACCAACCCCCTCTTCTGTCTTTGCTCAGAAGCTCTGAGGTTTGCTCTGAATTATAGTGCTGTTTCTCAGTTGGCCACTTTCATTAAATTAGCTCATGTAGGAGCGTATGCATTTTGGTGGTTTGTATGCTCTCCAAGCACCAGAACAGAGCTTTGCCGAACACATATCATTGACCACAGAATTTAAATGGAAGAGTCATCTAGGAAAAGCTATGTTTTCTATGATGACCAGTTTCAAGGGAGCCAGGAAATTACATGTGACCAAATATATGAATCCTATTTAACATAAATATCTAGGGGAGCCAATGTGATCCCAAAGCTCTGCATTAAATCTGTGCTATACAGAGTAAGGTAAGCGCATGACATGCAGATGGTTAGGAAGCTACATTTGATAAATGTTGCAGGTAGCACAAGGAAAGAAAGTGCTGGTTGTACTTGTTTGTGTCCCATCCAGACAGAGCAGGCCCAGTTCTGAACTATATAAGCACTGATTCTGTCATGGAGTAAAGCGTGTGGAAGGTTGGGACTATCAGCTCTCACTGCCCCACCCTAGACCCACAGATATGCAAATCTCGATGTTGTTTAACAGCCACATCCTCTGAAAGTGAACTGCCCCAAATCACGTAATAAAATCGTTGTACTGACACTGCTTAGGCTCTTTCATTTGAAAGTGATTTCCCTTGTTCTGGGCGAATGGGAGTAGAGGGTCATACTGTCAATGTATGTAACTTCCCTATATCTTAAAGTGCTTCATCGAGGTTAACTATAACTCACCTTCAATGACCAATAGGACCCACTTTTCATGCATCCAGGAGATTGATATTCAGTATGGATCACCATAAATAGGCACATTGGTGTCAGACCTAACCCATCTCTGCTGACCTTATGATGATGTCAAATATTATGAGATGATGAAGTTCACTTTGACTTACTCTGAGTGCAGTTTCATATTCTCCAGCAGCCAAGTGGGCTGAGCCCAGGCAGAGAGCAGCTTCTCCTTCCATGTTCCTGTCACTTCCTGAAGTGAGGATATAGAGAAGTCACCATGGTGTTGGGGGACAGATTGACCATACAGACAAAAATCCTCATCACTCAAGACAATAGGCAGTCCCTCTTTTAAAAAATGAACACACTTTTCAATTATCCTTGAAACTAACCTGCATTAAAAAACAAGCAATGTGTGTGTGTGTCTGTGTGTGTGTGTGTGTGTGTGTGTGTGTGTG